TTCAACTTGTTGTAAAATCTCTTAAACTCAACAAAATCTCTTAATTTTTTTTAGAATGAATCTAGAACTGTCAGCTCTCAAATGACATAACAATAACATAGATGCAAATGACTCCAGAACTTCCAAAAATGAACTAGTGCCATCTGTCACAAATATGTATCATTACTTTTCTGACAACCCAATAGATAACATTTACCCTTCATAAAAGTTCATACCCCTCTTTCTGTCAGACTGCTAGATTGAAGATTGAATAAAATAATCTGTATTTGAGTTGGGTCTAAGTCTTCCAGAGATATTGCTAGATTCTTCACAGCACTGATTTCAAATATCATAGAAGGTAGATCAGGACTTTTTTCCAGCAGGGCTTGGGGTCTGAGCACCAGCAAGTCTCTGAGAACTTTCTTATGTTTTATATCCACACCACTGGCTTTCTGAATTATGGGAGGTCTCTTCTGTTTTACAGACTAAGAGTGAGATTTTGGGGAATCTCTTTACTCTTCAGTACTTTGGCTCTCTGTACCTTGGGAGATTTCTCTCTGCCTTCAGACTTCAAAGGGTCATTGTAGTACACTTGGTGAAAGCCAAGAATACCTCAGAGGAATTTCTCTTAATTCTTGTACTCTTAACATCACCCTCATGGCTACTGCCTTGCATTCTGGGAAGGCCTTCTATACCTCAGTGACTGGGATTCTTCTCAACTCTCCTTTCTTTTCCCTAGCCTTTGGCTGAATAAGCCTATGAACTGGGTGAAGGCCTGTGGGAAAGAGTTGGTAGATGGGTACAGCCTCTGTGGCATAGGCTTATCAAATACAGGATCTTTGGGACTCTAACCTTCCATTTCAGCCCCAATGTAGCCATTAAAAGTTCACTAAAATTTAGACTGCTTTCTCCTTAACCTCATCTCTGGTGGATTACTTCTCCTGCTGCTCTCCTAAGAGATGAATGTAATTAGGTTGTCTTCTCCTTGAAAAAGCATGTCACTTTCTGGAATTTAGTTCATTTATATTTCTTTGCTCTCTGATTTTTTTTTTTAATTGCTAGTAAGGGAACAGAAGTCTCTGGCAGCCTTCAATATCCTAGCCAGATTTACTTGTTTTTTCATCTTTTTATGCTAGATTTTCTCCTTGAAATAAGATTATAAATTCCCTTAGGAAAAGAAGCCTGTTGTATATTTCTCTGAATCCTTCAAAGCACCTAGTAATGCTGTCTTATACACAGAAGTTCCTCAGTAAATGTATATTAAAGGTTATATGAATGGAATAATAGAAGATCCCAAAGAGTGTTAATTTAAAATTTGCAGAAATGCAGCACATTCTCTTAAGAGAGAAAATATTCCTAGTCTTTTCCCCTACTTTCCTAAATAAATCCACATGACATGCCCTTTCTGGTGAATATTTAATGATGTTCCTCACTATGTCACTATTCTTAGAATTGATAACGTCTTTTCCTGTTTTCTTCTTGGGAAATCTACCATGAGAGTTTCCAGAAATTCATTGTTTAATTTCATTTTTATAGTTGTAGCATTATACATCTCTGTTGCTATGCCTCTTTCATACACATACACAAACACACACACACACACACAGTTTCTATTTACACAACAGTATATTTTCAATAACTTTTTCTTCAATAGTGCATTAGTCCTTTAACCAAAACACCTCTTATCTGACCTTCTTAACCCTGCACCCATTACCTCCCATCTTGATTTTTTTATTTCTTACATTGGTGTTTTATTCAGCAGATGTATCTGTGTGTATACAACAGGCAAAGTATTGTAGACATGTTGTTCTTGCGATTCCCTAAAGCCAAACTTTACTCAGAAGACTGAAGTAGACATAATAATCAGGTTTTGCAGTATTTCTCAGCTTCTGAATTATTGTGGTGAGGGTGAGTGGAGCACATTTTTAGAATCTCCTGCATACAGGTTATAATGGGAAAAATCATTTCTATCTTATAATTGGTTCTATTTATTTTTAGTTGGCTATTTAGCTCATCTTGAAGATCTGACCAACATGAACAGGAAGCAATTAGACTTCAAAAGGCAGAGACACTGCTCTAAGCCATCTCAGAGCAGTTAAGATCTGCTGAGCAAACAGAAGGGGACACCTACTTTTCATTTCCAAAATTGTTCAACTTTTATAGAGGGAACAAACTTCCGTACTTGGAAGAGTAGCTTCCTGCAAAAAGGAGAGCAGATGTCTCCCTAATGGCCACGTGGTGGAAGGAAAGCTATTCTGAATATCTTATGGCACCATGGTGTCTGGCCTGCTGACTGGAGGCAGTTTCACACCTCAGCCGGAGTTCTGAACCTGTCAGACAGCAAGTTGGATACACAATTTCCCTCAGCAGGAAAAGTTGGCTATTTAGTAAACCTGACCACTTGTTGAAATGCTTGAACAAAAAAGCAGGAATTATAAACGAGCTGGCTTCCAAGATGGATTGAACCCTACAAAGTAAATGAGGAGATGTGCTCAACTCTCACTATCCTAAGTCATGGACAAAGAAGCCTGCAGTGAATCATGTGAAAACCCTGAGCTCCAAAGCCTCTTCTGAAATTTGAGAGAAACTGGAACAATAATATTCTGACTACTATGGTTATTATTTAGTAACATATGCAAGAAAAGAGAAGAGTTGAGAGAAATAATCCATTTTAATTATGGTAACATAGCCAGGAATCACTTGAGCAGACTAATAAACAGAATCCTACTTTTTTTGTGTGAGATGGTTGGTATTAAGCAAACTACTCGGTTGCTCTCTACCTGGATGGGCTCTCCAGTAACAGGATTCATCACTTCTTTTGCAGAAATTCTCATCCCCAAGGCAAAATTAGCCACTCTTTGAGCATGGCTTCCAACAGGCACTGGTACACCCCCTACCACCATATAAGCATCTCCTATTGTTTCCACCTGTAAGGGAAAAAATGCTATTCAGAGGGTTTCCTCGATGCACTAAGCATATCACTAGATATTTTTGTCATTTTCCACATACTGATGGAAGGACCGTAATAAAGCTTGTAATGATTTGTTAGAGGAATGAGGAGTATGAGGAAGGAGGTGGGGGTGGGGGTGGGGGGAAATGACTCAGAAAACCACCAAGAGAGAGCCAAAAGGCCTTTCTGCTTTTGGTGGAAACAAATCCCAGAGAAGATGAAGCTTCTGGGATAGGCGTATGATGCTATATACTAGATATGCATTATTTGTATTAGATTTGCTGCTTAATTTAAGGAGTAGGAGAACGACTCTCTGGCAAAAGTATGTTCTCCAAGGCACCTCAGTATTGGGTATTATCAAGGATTCCTAAAAAACTAACATTCCTGAAATACCTCCAGTGTCCTTTTAGCTCTTCCTTCTCACCCTGTTCCCATCCACACTAAACTGCAGACTGGTGAAGAGAAAGGCCTACACCTGAGTACCTGCCTGCAAGAGTGCACTGTGACACACGCCCCGCCGCACACAAACACTTACTTTGTAGACCTCATGGACACTGGTTAATCTGTCAAACCTGGAGTACATGGAATTCAGCATATTCACTATTTTGATAGGTTCACAGGCAGCACAGATGTTAGTAAATGTCACCACATCGCTAAAAAGGATTGTGCAGGTTTTAAATTCTCCTGCAACAAACACCCTGTGTTAGTGATAGCCAAGAATTTAGAATAATAATTCTATGAATTCTGAATTCACGAGCCCCTTGGGAACCAAACCTGCTTGTGCCTTGTGGGAAAGGAGCCAGACACCATTCACCATTCACCCAGCTGACATTTATTGAGTGCCTGCTATGAGCTGGTCACCGTGCTGGGAAAATCACACAGCACGAAGCAAACACGGACCTGCTCTTAAGGAGTACCCAGTCTAGAGAAGGAGATGGAAGAGTAAACAAATACCCAGTAAGATGTGCCAAGTGCTGTGTAATGACAGAAATGGGTTGGGTGGGCACTCGCTTGCAGGTGGGTTGAACTGCAGAAGACCCAGAATCAGGGCTGGTAGAGATCGGTCACCATGAAGTACAGTGGGAAGCTACCATGTTCCCAACATGTTCTCAAGTCATCTGGCTACTTTCACTCTTGCTGATTCCATACAGCAGCCAGATGATCTGTGTAAGTCAGATCTCCAATTCTTCTGCCTCAAATCTTCCACAATTTCCATCACACTTAGACTAAAACACAAAATCCTTACCATGGCCTATAAGGGGCCCTGCTGTGTGCCCACCACCTCTCTGACCTCATGTCTCCATGCCGTTCCTCTGGCTGGCTCTAGTTCAGCCACACTGGCCTCCTTCCGGATTCTCCAGCAGAGCAAGTGGCCCATGCTTGGGCCCTTGCACCTGCTGTTTCCTCTGCCTGATGCACTCGTTCTCAAATATTCAAGGGGCCCTGTCTCTCTCATCTCAAATGGAACCACCTCAGTGAGAACTTTTCTGACTACCTTATCTAAAATAACACTCCCTAGATCTCTGTCCTCTTAGCCTGAGTGCTGCCCTCCTTTCCATAAGACTCATGTGGCATGATATTTTATGTGAGTTGGTTTATTTCTCCCCCATCAGAACATAAACTCCATGAGATGGAGACTGTTTTGATCTCTGCTGTATCCCCAGCTCCTAGAGCAGGACCTGGCACATAGTAGATGCTCAATAAATATTTATTCAATGACTAAATGGAGAGCTCTTTGAACAGGGCTGGTCACCTTCTATATTATTTATACTTCTGGTAATAATCCCCCATTCATGTTACTTTCTCTTCCCTTTGGCTTCTGGCCTACATTCTCTCTTCATATTTTTCCTACTTTTTTCATCTCCTTGTTTTACATATTTCCTTGGCTTTTTTCCCTTCTTAAATAACAGGTGTCCCCTAATGTTCAATACTCAACACTTTTCATCTCACTTCATGCCTCCTAGATGACCTCATCCATCATTCATAGTCTGTGATTAACCACCACCCACACTGTGATAGCTCCCAGATCTATAGCTCTGTCCAGAACTTCCTATTGAGTTCTCCCTACAGTTCCTAACTACCTGTTGCTCATGTTCTATGGAGTGTCCCACAGATATTTCAAATTCAAGCTCTAAAACTGACCTGACTTTCCTGCCCTCAAGACTCTTCTTTCTGGTTCTGTCTTAGGATAAAGCATCACATCTTTATCTACTAGAAACCTCACACTCATCACTGACTCCTGTCTCTCACTTTTCCCATCTTCTCAGTTATGAAGTCCTACCGATTTCTACTCATGCTGCCTTAATTCAGGCCTTTACCACCACTTAACTGCATGTTGATGGGCTTTCAGTATGCCTGCCTCACATGTGTTCACTATACTGCAGTCAAAATCATATTTACAAAGTTAATCATGTCGGTTCCATTATTAAAAAAAACAAAAACAAACACAAACAAAAAAAGACTTCCATGCATTCCCACATCTAAAATATAAGACGATTTCCTTTTCCATGGTAATCCAGAGTCATCACAATATCACCTGAGTCTCATAAGGCACCACTTTGCCATAAACCCCCATGTTCTAAGGATAATACCTGGCAGTATTTATTTTTACATTATCTGGCATTTGCTCTTGCTATCCCATTCTCTTGAAATGCCTTGTCCTTCCTTTCTTTTTTTCTCTCTGATATTCAGCCTCATGGCCCAACACAAGTACCACACACTTTATGTAGCTCTTTACAACCCCACCCTGCCTCCGTCTCTTTTTTTTTTTCTGGCATCTATTTATTATTCATTTCTATCATCTATGTTTCTATAGCACCTCATATCATGGGAAGAGTATGAATGTTTGTGTTAGGTGGACTTATTTTTGGTTTACAGCTCTTTCACTCAAAAGCTGAGGTACATGTAAGTTTTCTCAGTTCTACAATATGGATAAATAACATATCCCTCATAGAAATGTTCAGAAAATTAAATGAAATAGCATATGTAAAATGTCTAACACAGATCCTGGCACAGTAATTGCTCCTTAATGCATATTAACTTCCTTTCCTTTGGCCAATTGCATGACCACCCTCATTAATTTATTCTGTGTATATCTCTCAAACCGACAAAACTGTGAACTCCTTTGGGTCCCCAGGGCCTGGGATAGCACCCTGGCATGGAGTACATTCATCTTGCTTGTCTAGTGGATGAACACATGCCCATTACAAATGGAAAGTGGGTTCAAAGTAAACATGGCATCTTTCATTCCAGAAATAGCTTACTCTCCCAGAATGGTCTTTAGAGGCATCCCATAATTTAATGTGTAGGTGTATCCACTTCCAGTCACAGTAGAGAATCCTTTTTCATGGTCACTGAGCAAAGAGGCCAGTCTTAGGATATAGCTTTAAATCCTTAGAGAATGTTATACAGTGAAACCTTAGATTGCAAGTAATGTTGTTTGCGAGTGTTCCGCAAGATGAGCAAACATTTCTAATACATTTTAACGTGGTAAACAAGCAATATCTTGCAATATGAGTAGTTTATTTCTGGAACAAATTATGCTCACAAATCAAGGTATTACTATATATGTTAGTATAGTTGGCAGGCTTTTTTTTTTTTTCTTAGCTGAGCCATCCTGCCACCTGTTGGCAGCTGAGCGGCTGCTCAGCTCGGGCCAGGACTTGAACCGCTGTTGCTCAGAGCTCAAACTCTTGAGCGAGCTCTTAAACAACTGAGCCACTTGGCCTGCCCGGCAGGCATTTTTATTTAATCTCTATTTCACCCCTGTGTTATTTTTATTATTCTCAATGTAGAGGAGAAAACAGAATACACAGCTTAAGTAATTAACTCAAGGTCATGCTGCTCAAAAGCGCTGAATCCAGAATTCAAACCCAGGTCTGTTTGGTTTCAGATTTTGTGCCCCTAACCACTAAGGCACACTGCCTCCTGCTCAGAGGTCCCTGGGAAGGGAAGGAAATGCCTTACCTGCAGCCACCTTTTTGCCTTCCTTCAGCTGGTTGGCCACATGCTCAGGCAGCATGGCATAAAGCAAGGTCTCTGTCTTCTTCTTTTCTACGGCCAAGTGCTTGGAAAGAACCCGCAGCTCCTCCTTCTTCCTCTCCAGCTGGGTGGACAGCTCCATCTCAGCCAGTCGCTGCTGGTTCAGCAGGATGAGATCCCTGGTGGTGTCGTGGGGGGCGAGGTCTGAAAGATGCATCTGAAGCTCCTCCAGCTCTTGCAGGCTGCGGAGCTTGGGGGAGCACAGGTATATCATGCAGCGCATAGACTCCATCCAGATCATCTGGCCTTTCCATCATGGAGAGAAATGTGACAAGACAGCATGTCACCAACAGGAGAGGATGTGGCTCACCATAGAGTGTGCCTGTCTATCCACTGCGCAGTCTCGCTCCTTCCCTTTTAGCCAAGTTTTGTGAGAGTTATCTATGCTTTCTGCCTCCGCATGCTCATCTCCCCCTCTCTCCATGGCCTCCAAACACCCAGCCAATCTGCCGTCTGGTGGAGCAGGCCCTCCTCCATGATATCTCGCTTCCAGGGACTTCCCTAACACTGCTTTCTCCCTGAAAGTTCTCCTACTTCTTTCAATTACATAGTCTTTTAGGTTTTTGTTGTTGTTTTTGTTCATTCCTTAAATATTGGTGTTCCCCAGCATTCTGTCTTGGTAGTCTTCTTTTGGCATCCCACAACTGCATCCTACACCATGCTGACAATGGATCTAAATTTCCAGAGGACATCTTACTTCCTGTACTCAAGATGCACAGTTCTTTAAAAATAGATATGCTTATTATTTTATTATAAAAGTAATACACACTCATTCCAGAAAAGAAACAAAGGGAAAACAAATAATAAAAATGACTCATAATTACACCATGTAGTTATTACTGTTAACTTTTGTATTCCCAAAAAGACGGGGTTATCTGGCATCTACTTTTTGTACTCTGAATTTTTACTTAAAATATATAATAGATATTTTTTTATATATTATTAAATGTAGATATGCATCATATTTTTGCTGGCTACATTTGTTATACTATATTTTATTTAAGCAACAAGCTAAAATTGATTATAGTACATCTAGTTTATCATTCTATAAAAAAACATTGCAATGAACAAGTTTGGAGGAACTCATTGTGTATAATCACGGCTATTGTGGTAAAGGATACATTCTTAAAAATGGAATTACTTAGACAAAGAATATGCTCATTTTTAAGGCTTTTGATACATATTGTCAAATTGCCCTCTAGAAAGATTGTGTCAATTTACACTCCCATCAAGTGATTTTTAAAATTACCAATTAGGTATTTGTACATGAATATCTGCAGCTGAACTCACCTTCTATGCCCTCTGCCAATCTTTTCTTTCTTTATTAATTCTTCTATAACATATGTGCTTAGTCCCTACTGTGAGCCAGGCACGTGATATTAGACATTAAGGATATAGCAGGACTGAAATTGATAAAAGTCCTTGCTCTCAAGGAGTTTACATTATGTCTTTTCTGTTAATCACACCTTTATCACCCAGTTACCCAAGCAAGAAAGCTAATACTTTTCCTAAATATTTTTCAACTCCTACATCTGGTCACCAATTTCTGCCTCAATCATCTCACGCATCTGTTTCCTTGATCACCACCCCAATGCCACTGCTTGGATGCATTCAGCACTTTAAAGCTTCTCACCTGTTCTCCAATGGCATCCTCCACCTGACCTCCAAGGTTCCATTTTCTCTACTCTTTGGTCTACCTTTCACATGCCTCTGGAGTGACCATGCTAAATCTTAAATCTAGTCATAGTAGACACTTAAAATGTTTCCAACTGCACAACAGAGCTTAAGTCTTCATCTTGCCAGCTTCATTTCCTATCACTCCAGTCTACAACTCAATTGGGGTTCCCAGAACACATCGTTTTTTTCTTAGCTGTCTCTTAAGCTTTGGCTATGTTTATACCTAGAACACCTAATCACCAGTCTAATAAAGACAGTTCAAAATGTGTGTCCTCTCACACCATATGCAAAAACTAACTCAAAATAGATCAAAGACTTAAATGTAAGACATAAAACTATAAAATTCTTAGAAGAAAACGCAAGAGAAATGCTGCATGACATTGGATTTGGCAATGATTTCTTGGATGTGATACCAAAAGCACAGGCAATAAAAGGAAAAATAGTTAAGTTGGATTACATCAAAATTTAAAACTTCTGTGCATCAAAGGATACAACAACAGTGAAAAGGCAATCCATGACAAGGACAAAAATACTTGCAAATCATATTTCTGATAAGGGTGAATGTCCAGAATATTTAGTGAACTCCTACAACTCAACAACAACAACAAAAAACTGATTAAAAAATAGGCAAAGGAATTGAATAAATATTTCTCTAAAGAATATATACAAAAGGCCAGTAAGCACATGAAAAATGCTCAATATCACTATTCATTAGGGAAATGAAAATCAAAACCATAATGAGATATCAGTTAAAACCCATTAGAATAGCAATTATCAAACAAACAAGCAAACAAACAAACAAACAAACAAACAAACAAAAAACCAGAAGATAACAAGTGTTCATGAGGATGTAGAGAAATTGGGATCCTTGTGAACTCTTCTTGATAGGAATGTAAAATGGTGCAGCAGTCTTGGAAAACAGTATGGCAATTCCTCAATAAATTAAAGATAGAACTACCATAAGATCCAGAATTCCACTTTTGTTTTAAAGTCAATTTTGTCTGGTGCAAGCATTGCTACTTCAGCTTTCTGTTTCTATTTGCATGGAATATCTTTTTCCATCTCTTCACTTTCAGTCTGTATGTCTTTTGATTTGAAGTGAGTCTCTTGTAGGCATCATATAGATGGGTCATGTTTTTTAATCCATTCAGCCGCCCTATTCTTTGTTTGGAGCACTTAATCAATTTACATTTAAAATAATTATTGACAAGTATGTACTTATTGTCATTTAAAAAATGTTTTGGGGTTGTTTTTATAGTTCTCCTCTGTTTCTTTCTTCTCTTGAGCTCTTGTGGATTTTTGGTTTTCTTTAGTGTTTTTCATTTTATTTCCTTTCTCTTTATTATTTGTTTACCTTTTGTAGGCTTTTTTTTGTGGTTACCTTGAGGTTTACATATATTATTCTTTATCTAAAGCAGTTTATTTTAAGCTGATAGTCGTTTAAGTTTGAATATATCCTGTAAGGACTATATGCTTTATATTATTGTTGTGATTCATTATATTTTGAGTTGAGTTTGATATAGTTTTCTTTTAACCCTCATTGTAGCTTTTTAAACATCTGATTTGCTGTATTTATTGAATATTTGGCTTTACCTGTGAGATTTTTCCCTTTCTCATATTTTCATATTTTTTGTTTTGGCCTTTTGTTTTCTACTTAAAGAAGACCTTTTAACATTTCTTGTAAAGCTAGTTTAATGATAATGAAGTCCTTTAATTTTTTGCTTGTCTCAGAAACTCTATCTCTTTTTCAGTTCTGAATAACAACCTTGCTGGGTAAATTATTTTAGGTGTAGGCTCCACTCTTTCAGCATTTTTAAAGATGACCTGTCACTCCCCTCTGAACTGTAAAGTTGCTGATGAAAAATCAGCTGATAGCTGTATAAGGTTTCCTTTGTATGTAATTCATTTTTCTCTTGTTTTTTCCAAGATTGTCTCTTTAACTTTTGCAATGTTAACTACATTATGTCTTACTGTGAGTCTCTTTAGGTTCATCTGTGCTTCCTGGACCTGGGTGTCTGTTTCCTTTTCCACATTAGGAAAGCTTGCAGCCATTATTTCTTAAAATAAAGTTTCTGTTCTTTTCTCTCTTCTCCTCCTTCTGGGACTCCAATAATGCGAATGCCTGAATGTTTGATGTTCTGAGTGATTGATTTCCAGTAGTCTGTCTTCCAGGCCATTGACCCATTCTTCTGTGTTAGCTACTCTATTGTTAATTCCTTTTAATGTGTTTTTCATTTCAGTTATTGTATTCTTCATGTCTGTTTGGTTCTTTCTTATAGTTTCTAAATCTTTGTTGAAGTTCTCTCTAAGTTCTTCTATTCCACTCTCAAGTTTAGTAAACAATCTTATGGCCATTTCTTTGAATTCTTTATTAAGCAAATTACATATTTCCATTTCCTTAGGGTTTTCTTTTTTTATTTTTCCTGGGGATTTTTCTTGTTCCTTCATGGAAGAGATATTCTTCTGCCTTTTCATTTGGTTTGAATTTCTGTGCTTATTTATATGAATTAGACAAAATAGCTGTATCTCCTAGTCTTGGAAAAGTGGCCTTATGTAGAAGCGAGCTCTGTGTGGACTGTGTGAAACATGGTTTTGACAGACTGGTAGGAACCAAGCAGGTGCTTAAGGTACACAGGGCACTGGCCCACCAAGCCAGAGCAGCTCCAGGTGGGGAGGCCAGGTGTGTGTCATAATGCCCTGTTGAACCTCTTGCTCTCTTTGTGCAGGGCCAAAATGGGCTCAGGTGATGTGTCTGGGAACACATTGCAGCAACCATGCAGGCAGGCCAGAGAACCTGGAAAGAGCCCCTATCCACCCTATGGAAGTGGGGGTAGGAGGCCCTAAACAATGGTGCTCACCTCTCCTCCAGCCCTAGAGAGTTTCCCAAACTCCCAGAGGGCTCCCTCAGCTTCCCAACCTTCTCTAGTTAGCCTCTTTCTTTTATTTGTTGTCAGAAGCTGTTCATTCAGTGCTTGGTTGTGTCACAGAAGCAACTGCTATCTCTATACATATATATTTGATTTTGCTCATGGGATAGGGTGAGTTCATTGCCCTCCTACCTCTGCCATCTTACCCATTTTTGGATATATACTAAAAAGCATTGCAGTTAGGAATTTCAAGAGATACTTATACACTATAAATCACAATAGTAAAAAAATGGAAGCACTCAAAAATGCTTAAAGTGATAAATTTTATGTTATGTAAATTTTACCACAATTGAAACAAAAATGTGTGCCCTACTAACAAGGAGGTCAACTGATCATGTTGTTATACAAAACAGACATTAAATTAGTTCTGATAGTACCACGTGCATTCTGTAAATCTTGGTAACAGAGACCAGAATTTTAGAATTTTATATATATTAATTATATTATATTTATTATATTATATTATATTATTATATTATATATTATATTATACAACTAGAGTCCATTTATGTCTAAACCATAAATAGTTGAGGGAATAAAATATATTGTTTACATATCAAGCAAATGGAAATGTCAGAAAAACAATTTCTGAATGCAGCCCCTGTCCCACTTTTTATCCAATGTTTTGAAGAAATTGAAAGGCCCTGCTTCTTTGCTTTCTAGCCAATCTCCCAAACAGCAGAGAACAAAGGGAAAGGAGTGACTTATTACCTCGGAGTTTGAGCGTGGGTTGATGTTTCCATGCTCCAGGCATCCTTTCTCTCCGTGTCTTCAAGACAAATTGACTGTTGATAAATTTGCAGATGCTGAAAATGTTGAAGGTAACTTGGGGATGAATGATGGAGAAATACTCATCTAATTGAATATTCTGGTTTTGGAGTCCTGGGACATACTTCTGAATATTCACTCCAGCTTGCTTGACCCTGAGCTATACACAGAGGGCAGATGTAAGACTGGAGAATGGAAAGGAACCCGCACCATAAAAAGCAACCTGCGCCATAAACGTTCCCTTAGAAATATCATTCTGGCCATGCTTTGTGACTCATTAGGGGAAAGGGGTCAGTAATGAAATAAACACCAGAGAAGTAATAAACATTATTTTAAAAATCAAATCTGCAGCTAATCTCTAAAAGAGAAAAGAATAGTACTGGAGTGCTCAAAAGCATATCTCTGACTAACAAGAAACAGAAATTAAAGCTCTCACTTGTGCTAATAGTGCTTCCCTAGCTCTATGAGAT